TATTATAAAAACTATTAATTAGAAATTTCTAGAGAAATTCTAAGAGAATTTTTCTATTTTTATTTTATAATTTAAAAGTACTTTTTTAATATTTTTCTTAGATTTATTTTTAATTTCTAATATATTTATAATTAAAAGTATTATTAATCTTATTATAGTTTATTAAAATAATAAAAGTAATTTTATTATATTAATATTCTAAGAAAATAGATAATATTACCTATATATCTATACGTTATCTAGGAGAGTAGGGCTATACCTAGCTATTTCAACCTATACTATTTACTAAGGATTCTTAACTAAAGGGGTTAAGAATTAGCTTTAAATAATATTAGATTTTTAAAATTAAGTACTAAGTTATTTCTAACTATAATATAATAATAATTAATAGTTAAAATATAAAATTATATATAATAGTATAGAATTAAATACTAACTACCTACTTTAACTTTTACTATTCTTATTTCCACTTATAGTAAGGGTACTCTAAGTAAGGTTGCATACTATCTTAGTACGTTAGCATTCCTTAACTTTAGCTTCTTTAAGAAGTAGCTTTCATTGCATTCACAGACACTCACAAACAACAAACCTAAGAAAATCAATCTCCACAAACCAGGAATCAAAATCCAGACAATACATACAGACAGATCGCCAAATACAGTCATCTGAGGCACAGCGCTCAAAATGCTCTTTATCGGTCTGACGGGCTCCATCGCGACGGGGAAATCCACGGTCTCCTCCGTCCTCTCCAAACCCCCGTACTCCATCCCGCTCATTGACGCCGATATCCTGGCCAGGCAAGTCGTTGAGCCCGGAACAAAAGGCTATGCCGCCATCGTGAAGTACTTCCTGCCGACCACCCCGGACCTTCTCGTTCCGGCCTCCGACACGATGCCTGAGAACGGGCCCGACGGCAAGGGACGACCGCTGGACCGGCCCGTCCTGGGTCGCCGCGTCTTCGGCGACTCGGACGAACGCAAGCGCGACCGTGCCGTCCTGAACGGCATCGTCCACCCTGCCGTCCGCGGAGCCATGTACCAGGCCATCTTCCGAGCATACATCCGCGGCCACTGGGCCGTCCTACTCGACGTGCCACTTCTGTTCGAGAGCGGTCTAGACCGCATATGCGGCACCGTCTTCGTTGTCGCCGTCAAGGACCCGGAAGTGCAGATGCAGCGCCTCAGAGCCCGCGACCCTCACTTGTCACCTGAGGATGCCCAGAACCGCGTGCTCAGTCAGACGGACGTGAGACTCAAAGCGAGGAGGTGCGAGGCCAGGGGGCCGGGCAAGGGCGTCGTACTTTGGAACGACGGAACCAAGGAAGAGCTCAAGAGAGACATAGCGGAGGCGATTCGCCATGTACAGGCATCGAGCCCCGTGTGGTGGAACTGGTTGCTACTGGCTTGTCCCCCAGCAGCAGCGGCGGTCGGGGCGTGGCGTTTCTACCAGAACATTCGCATCAACAAGGCTTGGGCTGAGCAAGAGAGGATTGAAAAGGCCAAGCTGTAGGTGGGGAATCAACTCTGGCACAGGCCTTATGTGCTATACTCAAAATCCTCTCCAGTGTAGCATACCATGGCCAAGGCTGCCCCAGTGATGATGGGAGCACATCACGACGTCTACGCGGCTCCAGGAGTCATGACAACTGATTGACAATAAAAGCAGAGACGATCAGACGGCATACGATACGCAAGATAGAAAGTCAAAAGACTAAAGACCGTAACAAAGGTAACCAAGAGCAGTTTCGTATCTTGGAACATACCATGAGGTGATGATCGCCACATGCCCGAGAAAGGCTCCTCACAGCGACTATGTACGAGTTGGATGCGAAGTCTGTATCTGAGAATGGACCAGATGATACATAGCACATGCAGTATCAGATCCAGACTCCGAATGAGGAATCCCACAGTCACTAAAAAAGCGTTACCGGCGTACCACGTAGGAGATTGAAGCTCCGGCGCCGTTGGGCGCCCCCGATGCAAGTCCGCATCGCAGGGCAGGTCATCGATATCAAAAAACAAGCGCCACCCAAGAGTGATGGGCAGAGGTGATGGTCACCCGCATGACGCTATAAGTTCCCAGTTCGCGCTTGGCACGGCACGAAGAGCGAGTTGCCTTATTCCCATATCTCGCCTTCCCTTTCTTCTGAGCTCATCACGACTACGGGCTTGCGCGAGATTTATTTCAACAGATGTCCTGCGTTTATATACAGGAAGTTGAGAAGTTAATGCCCTACTAACTAATATTAGCGTACCTTAGAGAAAGCCTTAAGCTGATTTCTTAGCTATTATATATTCTATTGCCTATTAAGCTATAGTAAATAAAGTAATTAAATGCTATAAATATATATTTAGGTATATTAAGAGTAAATAATACTTATAAGTTAATTTAAAATTATAAGCTTAAAAGTTTAAGATTTAATTTATAATATTAATTAATTTTTTTATGTTTTATATAATATTACTATTAAATATATATATATATATATAGTTCTTTTATATTTTAAGTACTAACTTACTGCTTTATAATATTAAAAAGTAATAAAATATTTTATTAAATATTTTATAAAAATTAAATAGAAAGCTTTAGCTTTAACTTTAATATTTTATACTTAATATTATTTAAAATTTTAAAATTTTAATAATATATATTTTAATATATTATTTTATAATAATAAAATAGCTTAATACTTTATATTAAATTACTTACTCTACTTTAAAAGAAAAAGACTAATAACTACTTTATTACTACTTCTAGGTAGTAATAACGGCTGTGGCGCCTATGCTTTCCAAGTGCCCGTCTAAGTGCCCCTCAGAACTGGCGACCTGTTTCTAACCAGCCGTGTCCGGCACTTACCTCAATCAGCACTGTTGATCGCCTCAGAACACCTATCCATTAGATATTCGGACACACATCTACGGCCCGACAAGCTGCAACTATTGGCTGGCAAGCTGTTTGCGCGCAATTTATCACACAACTATCGACACTCGTTTCTGTCACGACACGACAAGGCGACCAGCTTCGCACCTTCTCGCTGCTTCGACTCGGTTTGGCAGCTGCTGTTGCAATGGCTGATCAGGTGCTCGATCAGGTGCGCGACCTGGCTGAAGGTCAAATTGTAAGTCACTCAACTCTCGAACGCACTGCGCATCCTCGACAACCTGGCGTCGTGCTTACAACGGTGGCTCGTCCGCACAGGACTTCGAAGGCCAGAAGCTGGCAGACCTCTTGGCCACCCTCGTTCTTTCGGCATCCGGAGTAAGTCCCTACCTATCTGCGAGTACCAGCGGATTCTTGAACCCCACCCTGAGATGTTCTGTTCGCTGACTGTTGTCGAATCGCCAGGCTCTCGCCTTCGTTATCGGCTTTTTCCTCCAAGACATCAAGATGGCTGTCTACGTTGGCCTGGCAGGAACCGCCTTCACGTTTCTCCTCGTCGTACCGCCTTGGCCCTTCTACAAACAGCACCCCGTCAAGTGGTTGGAAACTGGATCTGGATCACGTAATGTCACTACAATAGAGAAGTCAGGATGAGTGGTGTAATAGTAATAAGGCCAAGCGTTCATCATTTCAGTCCTATGGTATCGTCTCTGCTCATGTGCCTATCCTTTGGCCCAGCCAGGCTTATTTGTGAACCCAGTGTTGGGCAAACCCTCCGGCTTGTTCGGGGTACCAACCACTTGATTGCATCGAAGCGTTCCCGCGTGGCACCGAAACCCGATGAGAATATTCTTCGTCCATGATGTCATCCCGTTTACCGGCCGTACTTCTGGAATTCCCAGTCACGATTGTCCAACGGGCAGACCTGTCGAGCCTTGAGCCAACGTGAGATGCAGTGGAAATGGAAAGCGTGCTGGAGAAACCGTGTCAGCGCGTGCATGCTTAATGAATATGGGATAGGGACATACGTTGCAGATTCCCCAAGCAACGGTGCACTCCTCACTAGTAGCAGACGCTTGATTGGCTTGGCACTCGATGCCTACAGACGGTCAGGAATCCAAGCGCCAGAAGAGTTCCATGGTGTAACCTACAGAGGTCCATGATGTGGTTTCGGCAAATAGCACAGTTATCAACAACGATATCCCAGGCCCAGAGAGCGACGGCATTCCACTAGAGGTACGTGTAAGCTTGCGACGGGCCGGTATAGTTCAGAGCAGTCACCTTCTTGACCTCAAAGCGCTTCTTGCCATCGGCGGCCTTGGTCTCGCCATCGACCCCCTTCTTCACCACGGTGGTTCCGGGGGCGTCCGTCATATCCACATCGGCCATGGTGGGCAGCTAGATCGATCGGCGGGGATGGAAGACGGTAACGAAAGAGCGCTGTTGACGGAAGTACGACTGTCGACGGTTGGTGAGGGAAACACTGCGGTGTGGACGATGGCGATCTTTATAGTGTTGATACCGTTGCGGTGCTTGGTCTGATTGCGCTGGTGCAGTGGTCAGCATCAACCTGATCAGTGGTCAAAGACGGGAGAGAGAGAGAGGTGAGGTGGTGGGAATCGGTTTGCCAGCCTCGGGCCTTCAAGGTATGCGGGCGGGCAGAATTCCGCAGGGAAAGAGCTGGATCCTGTAGCTGCAGGTCCAAGGCAGTCGAGACTCACCGCTTGCTAGAAGTTTGGACACACCATGTGTTGAGGTTGTTTCGTAAATAGGTAAGGTACCAAGGTGATTTGGTGGTTCCAATACCTGGAGTTGGTGGTGATGCACACAGTAGAGGCGAGGCTGTCATTCATCGCTGACGGAAGCAAAGTGAGCCATGGAAGCCGGTTTCGTGGGGGAGCCCCTCAGCGGGAGGGACAACCAGGCGCAGGCCATGATTGGATACCTCTTACTCCGGAAGGTGCTGCCTGCCCAGGTGCCTACCATAGGTACCTTACCAGGAGGCACTACGGCATATACTCATACTGCGGTATGTACATAAGGCAGATACCGCTTTAAAGGGATTCAGGTTGGTCACCTCTAAGCACTTCCACCGTACCTACCTCACGGATTGCTCAACTTGCCGCAAATTCTGGGTAAATCGGTTCTGAAGTGTAGTTTATTTAAGTCATCCGGGATCTACCACACGTCACCAATTTACTAAACGGCAGGTATTCCAATCGTTTTCAAGCTCGGCCGACCTCACTCAGAGCGGATTTTTCTAGCAACATTATCGGTCGCACAGATATGTCTTCTTCGTGTCATTGGATACGGCGGTATCTTGCACAAGTTTGGCATTAGCGGGATATAGTATAACCTCATCCGGAGCTACTATGTAGGTGCCAACCCCACCATCAGGACAAACGGTTGTCATTTCATATGGGTTTCCTGGCCCCGAATCTTGAAGGCGCCTCAGAGTCCCCATTCCCTTCGGATCAGTGACGCAGAGCACACTGATTTAGAACATCCCCCAGTGTCCCAGGGGATGTGACTCGCGTCCCCGGCAACGCAGCTCCTGATCCCCAAATTCGGTGACCAGAAACGGGGATGGTGAGGCAGAAACTGGGCTGGCTTGAGGCACCGTGGGTGACCTGAGGCTGGACGTAGTGGCTCAATAGTTAGAGATGATTGGTCGAGGGGGCTCCAGGTGGGGTCCACTTATCGGATAAGACGCTTCGGTTGGTACTTAGTATAGTACATACCTAGGTACCTTAGGCACCTACCATACCTGGAACCTACCAGTACATCAGTACATTACGCAGCCCGAGTACGGTGCCTTACCTCAGTGCCCATCTTACCTTGCTGTAAGGTATCTTACCTAAGGTGGGTAGGTACCGTAGGTAAGGTACCTTAGGTAGGTACCTGCTTATGGACCGCCCCCGCCAGGACCGGGAAATGCGGTCGCTGCCCTGAAGCTGTTGGGATGGCATGGCACTTACCCAAGGTTGCGTGACGGGGCCCAGCTGTTTTTGAAGTTCTATGGCAGCGCCAGTGGAGGGTTACTTACTTAAGCCCCTCTCCCCTCTTTCCGCCGCCCCGAGCTGCATCGCCCCCCGATTTCTGTTGCTGCAGCGTCATCCCACTCGACTCTTTCGCCCTTCACTGTTTGTACGGCACCATGAGCAGAGCATACTCACGCGCTTTTCCTCCATCAGACAGTGGCTTCTATATCTCCCTTTCTCTCAATCCCCCTCCTCAGACAGATCATCCTCCAGGCGCATGAAACCTCGACACCGAAACAGACCATCCGAAACTCCACTAGCGAAAAAAACGAGTATACCTACCTGTTTTACTTGGCTACCTCATCGTAAGGTGGTCTTCGCGTCGCCTCTCGACAGTCACAGTCACACTCACAGCATTGCGACCGACCGAGATCGATCGAACTTGCCTCGCCGTATTACAATATACCTTACCTACCGCACCTAGAGCAACTTCCTGCCGTCAACCGTTCATCATCTTGAGCGGCATACCATCGCATAATTACCCGGCTTCGCTCATTTATACTACACCTCTGAGTCGGTTCGGTCACATTTGATTCGCAGCGATACCTCATATAGCCCCCTTCCCGGCTCAACTATGCAAGAAACGACCAACCAAGCGAAGCCCACCCCCACCCGTCGCCGAGGTCGCGGTGGCGGCGGCGGCGGCGGCAAGCCAGCTGGGCAGAAGATGTACGCATCTGAGAACGACATGGCCAACGTCTCCAGTCTGGCCTATGATCAGTTTGGCCCTCACACTCCTCAGAAGTCTTACTCCGGTTCCCCTGACCCGCAGTCGGCCACGGGAAATCAGAACGGCTCCAAGCAGCGCTCTCGCAACAAGCCGCGAGCCAAGCACCCAAACCCTGCAGCTTCGCCGGACTACACCCGCCAGAACCGCCGTTCGACACCACAAACCATACCCGTGAATAACAAGCCGAGCTCTGCTACTGCCTTTGCTGGCGCAACCTTCCACGCCTCACCCGCCCCCTCCGCCTTGCCCATGCCCAGCTTCTACTCCAAGTCGATTCCCGAGTCTCCGGGAAACCCAGGAATTGGGGGCGAGGTTCGACAACAGCCTTCACCTCCCGCAACGGACCAAGAGGCAGCGACGCCCCAACACCCGTCTACTGCGCCCGTTGCCCGCGAGTCGCCTCTTGACGCCATCTTCAGGGCAGACAGGGCCGAGAAGGAGAAGGCCCGACGAGCAAGCTCTCTCCATGCGTCAGCTCGTCCTAATGGCCCAGTGTCGCCGCCGGTTCCTTCGCCAAGGGACAGCCCTTTCGCCGCGAAACCTCACAACACCCACCCGGGGCATCGTATGCCCTTCCATCGATCGTCAAGCGGCATCTCGTCAGCCGAACTCGACGGCTTCCCCTGCAAGCCCCTTGGTCCTGCATTTTCCACCCCGTACCAGGACCGCATTCGGGCTGCTCATCCAGCTCCCAACCAACCGTCTACTCCGAGGTCGGATAACTCTCCCTCCGAAGATCGCTCCGAGGCTTTGAAGAAGTACTTGTTCGGAGGCAAGGGCGTGGCAGCATCCCCCCAATCTACGCCTCCCGCGCTCTCGACTTCGCATGCTAACAACGGCATCTCGGGACGAAGGCCCCCTGTTGAAGAAGCTCGGCCCTCTTCTGACTTGCGTGCCATGGAGGACAATCTTCGACGCATTCTCAAACTTGATTCCCCTTTAGCAGCCGCCAAGTCGGGTGAACGTCCTTTGTATTCTTAATCGAACAGTTCCGTACGGGCCACATCCCGCCAACCGGCTCCCAACGCAGGAAGTCAGGTGCTCAGCGTTGTTTATGGTGCTAGGTTTTAGGAGAGATATAAGCTGGCATGATCAGCAGATAAGTTGCATGGAACAGGAGTACATGGGTTCTAGCTGATGATTGTGATTTTTGTTGTTGGGTGTCTTGGGGCTGCAGGATGCGGCAGGATTGGCAATGCTTCGCGTGCCGACGTCAGGAGTCTTCGACTAGATACCCGGAAGCGACAATGATGTTTTTTCTTCAGTTAGAACAATTTCGATTCCTCTCCATACACAGACACGAGTCAGAATGACGGGTCTTCTTCATCTGAAGTCATTTGTCACCATAGGCTTTCCTCGCCAGGTATTCACTTCTTCCGCGTAGCTCCTCGCCTTTGCTCAGGCGAATAAACTATGCCCTGCGCTAGAAGTATATCTCTGGAGAAGAGGTCTTCGGGCAAATGCGAAATCATCGAACTTGCAGCATTCCGTCCCAAAGTAGTAAGCTGCAGCCATACTAGTTAGTGCCGCCACAGGGTTCTTCTTCTTCTTCTTCTTTATTGCTAATGACTTTGTTCCTATCGATTTGATCCATGGTCTGGTTCCGTGAAGAGCTCCCTGAAGGTCGTTTTATAGTGACACTTGAAGCAATGTTTGTCCGTACGTATGACCGTGATATCAGTTTAGAAAGCTGCACCTCAGAGAATTTCCTTGGCCTAAGTTGCATTCTTTCCTAGAAATCCTACGGGTTTGTCTGCTAAAATGCAAAACATGATATGGCATACCTTAATGGATAGCTCGTTGCCAATTATATCACTAGCTTCCAACAGGAACCCCTAATTTGTACGGGGGATGATGCATGACCTCAGTCTGAAGTTTACCTGTAGAACCGGCGAAGATTGCAAAATGTGTCCATGGTGGGCAAGTTGGGCAATAACGTTTCTGAGGTTTATGTTGATTGGAAGAGAACTACACTGGCCGCTCAATTTATAGTTTCAAGGAACAATGCGATGAGCGGATATACCATTTTAGCAAAGTCTTTTCGAGGCAAGAAGACTTGCAGCGCTGGACGATATCAAGGAACATGCTCAACTTTTGGATGTCGTGCGTCAATTGTTCAACGAGCTTGCTCGGAAAACCGTATCGTACTCCAGAAGCCACCCACTCCCTTACTGGGCGAAACCTGGAGCTGAACATCCTCGGGCTCGTATCTGTACTTCGAGGAGAAGTTGGAAGTGTGCTTGAATATCTAGGCGAACGCTGGGCAGTAGTAAATATGTTGTTTTCTCAGTGGAACCGACCCTGGAGCCGTCCTGGACCCCGTTGTTCGTCCACGAAGCCCCGAACGTATCCTTGTCTAGGAGTGTAGAAGTTGTCTGGTCTCCAGTCACTGCTACGCTTTCCAAGGTTGTGACCTCGAATCTGTCTTGATGTTGTGCCAGAGTAGAAGCGCAGGATTACTACGAATTAGTCCAGCATATGAAAACGCCGGCGGGAGGAGAGTTCAGACTATCATGGCGCCGATGACTACGATGTGTTTCCTCCCTGGCGGTGCCATTCCGTCAAGTGTTTTAACGGCGTCTTCGACAGGGTTCTATGTCAACCCTACCGCCCTGGCGACGAACTGCAGTATCCCAGCATACGAAGGCTTGAATATCCGTCATAGTTTGAACGGAAAACGTGATGGGGGACCATTTAATTAGCAAGTTCAGCTGCGAGATTTTGAACCTTACGTGGCGCACATCGCTCTCCAGCCCTTGTGACTACTGTGGTCTGTCACTACGTCATTGACATGACGCAAAGTCTCGCACTCACGGTTTTTCATAAGAGCCAGCTTTTCTCAAATGCGAACAGAGCAGAGCACAAACCTCCAGGCAAGCTGGCAAAAGGTGGACGATATCGAAGAGATTCGCGACAACGACACCATCAATAGGGGCGACGCGACAGCAACCAAACGAGACTAATGAAACAATTGTTTAAGCCACATCCTCCAAGACGCGGAAAGTACATGAGTGAGTATTATCAGCAAGCGTTGCGAATGCTACGCCTTCGGTGAACCATAGCTGACAAGCCTTTCGCAGCAAATGTATCTAAACAGTACCATTCATCTATCACATGTATACATCAAAGCGCAAAATGAGGCGCGAATGCACGTGACATCGCGATACGCGGCTAATCACCGGCAAGTCCAACGCGTGGGCAACGTGACGGACGTCGCACAATTCTGAACTTGGCTTTTTGCATTCGCTGCCTGCACCCCAGACGCATTGAAATTTTACCGGAAATCATCACGACTGGCGAGTGGTCACCGATTGCATCGCCGTGAATCAACGTACTGAAGTTCGAGCCTGAGAAACCACCCTCTGGCACTGGGGTCATGAACATGAGCTCCAACAAGGATCAACATCGTTCGGCATCGCCAGATGTCGAGGGCGATCCGGATCTCGCCCTCGCGATCGCTCTTTCCTTACAAGAAGAAAACATTACCGGTGATGCAGCAGTTGAGTCTTCTCCAGTTGCCGCGAAGGACAACATTGGCAAGTCCGCATCTGCTGGCGCCGCCTTTGGCTACTTAGCCCTCGACAGGAAGACTATGGAGGAAGAACGTCTCGCAAGATTGAAGAAACGTTCTGCCGCGCAAGCTGGTCTCAACGAGAAGCCTCAAAATCCGAAGCTCCGACGTTCTGAAGACGATATCCTGGGAGTGAGCGACATCAACGGACCCGGGCCATCTAAGACGCCTAACCAAATAAGAGAAACCGCCAAACTGCCATTTTCCAAAGGGGCATTCAAGAGGACATGGGCATACGGCTACCCGAGAACAGGCGAAGATATCAAGATCGAAGAGATTCTGCAGAAGGACAAATTGCAGCTGGCTGTTCTTTCGTCTTTCCAGTGGGACGAGGAATGGCTCCTGTCGAAGATGGACTGCGCTCGCACCAAAATGATACTGGTCGCCTATGCTGCGAATGATGCGGAGGTAAGAGCAAAGACTTCTATGAAATCACGACTGGCATTCCCTGGTCCTCACAAAGACGTGTTGGCTGATCCCGACCCAATAGAAAGCAGTAATTCGCTCAAACGCTCCTTCTGGGCTGATAAGATTTTGCTTCCCGCCCATGCACGGCGGTTATATGCACTCCAAGTTGCAGATCTTGAAGTTTGAAGGGTAAGGCGATCCCCATCCTTCAAAATACTGCCACCTGCTAATTAAACTCCAGTCACCTTCGTATTGTGATCCCCTCCGGCAATCTGGTTCCCTACGATTGGGGAGAGACGGGTGTTCTGGAGAATGTCTGTTGTCCCGAATTGGTCACGATCCCCGCACAGTCTAGCTGACGTTCACAGATGGTGTTTCTCATCGACTTGCCCCGGCTCGACGATGCGGAGAAGATTGCTGGTACTACGGAGACATTATTCGGAAACGAACTTCGACGTTTCCTGCAGGCTCTTGGTCTGGACGAAAAGCTCGTCAAGAGTCTGGACAACTACGACTTCTCCGAGACGAACCGGTATGGTTTCGTTCATACGATGCAAGTTCAAACTACTACCCTGATCAATTCGACATGGACATGACAGCTAACATGTATCTTCAGTTCCGGCAGCCATGCAAATGACTCTTGGCGACATACAGGCTAGTCTGCCCGCCATACCTCGAGACGCAAGGACGTTGTGTTCGTGGCGAGTCAAAACAAGAACTGACGGTTATGACTAGGCTACTGCGGGCTGGGAAGCACTGTTCGCAGCTTGGGATTAGCAACCGAAGATCCCGTGGACGTTGACTACGTGGTATGTACGCGGTTTGCTGGCTGAGCAGTTTGCCCAGGTCTTGGCAAGCAATATGACAAGGGGCCTCTGCTAAGCAATTTGTCATCAGGCCTCTTCGCTGGGATCGTTGAACCACAGCTATTTGACGGCTATTTACAATGCCTGTCAAGGTACGTGCGGTTGCACTCAAGCCTCCCGATGTTTGACAGGGTGATCAACATGCTGACGTTCAGTTGCCCCATTGAAGGCGACTCGGGCATGAAAGAATACGAAGCCAGGCAGTCTAAATCAACGAAAAGCAAGGTGGCACGGGCAGGCCTTTCCGGTTCTAGGCCAGTGGCACTTGAGCCAGCCGATTTGCAGAAGCATCTCCGCATTTATTTCCCGACCGAAAAGACCGTGTCGAGCAGCCGAGGGGGTAGATCTGTAAGTTATGTGTTCCGGCCGGGATCGCCGCTGCGCCGGTCGATCCTGGTGCCCAAACGCACCAATTTTTTCTCTCTGATTGCTCATTTCGCGTCGCAACACAGGCTGCCGGCACAATCTGCATACAAGAGAAATGGTGGAATTCCTCGACCTTCCCGCGAGAATTACTGCGAGATTGCCAGGGCGCCCGAAAAGGTCTCCTTCTGCACAGCAAAGTCATTTTCGTCCGTGATCGAGGACGCGACGGTGCAGTCTGGGCCTATATGGGAAGTGCAAACTTGTCGGAGAGTGCATGGTAAGTCATTAAGAAACTATGACGACGGGTGACCCCGAGGGCGTCGTCGTACAGCAAGGAGAGGGAGTGGGAAGGGGGGGGGGGGGCGGCCGGCAGGTCAGCATGCGTCTAAGGACTGCGTGACGAAACGGCATAGATCGACCATAAGGCTGACTTAAATTGGGTTCTAGGGGCCGGTTAGTGAAGGACCGGGACGCGGGAACGGCCAAGCTCAGTTGTCGCAACTGGGAATGCGGCGTGTTGGTCGCGGTGGGCAAGGCGGCGGGCACGGCGGATTCTTGGGCACGGCGGGGAACCGACCAAGGTGCACAGGCAAAGGTGCAGAGCCAGACGCAGGGCCATACGCAGACGCAGGCGCAGGCGCAGACGCAGACACACGAGGGGCGTGACCAGGAGCAGAAGGAGAAACAACAGGGCGAGGCATCAAATGAGGAGAAGCTGCAGTACCAGCGGCGGCATCGGCATCAGCATCAAGATGAGCAGGACGAATCAGCGGGCCTCGATGAAGCGTTTGGGACGACGATTCCCATTCCGATGAAGGTGCCGGCGGGACGCTACGCGCCAGATCAGTCGGCAGCCAGCCGGCCTTGGTTTTTCATGAAGGCCGATTGATCAGGGATAGAAACGGGGACGCGGACGAGGATGAGGCTTGAGGGAGGGGGTGTGATTCAGCTGAGACACCCCTAGAAAATCGGCAGCGGCAGCAGAGAAGATGCACGACCGAGGCGGGAGAGGGGATAAATTGAGTGAAGAAGGAAGGGTATTACGACGTAGTAAAAGGGGAGTAAACAAGTGAAGCACGGACATGGATCTTCACGGATGGTACCTATGGCGTCGTCTCAATCTGAAGGAGGGTCCCGGGTCGGCCGGGCTAATTAGCCCTCCGATTGTGGTGCCGAGTTGGACCTGGACCGTACGCATCCGAGAGGGGTTGCGGCGTTGTGAGGGTCGGTTTAACGTCTAGTAACTGAGTTGTCGGGTTGAATCCTTTTGTGGGTAGGAAATGAGAATGAAAATGGAACTGGAACTGGATGAATCGTTGCACGCATCAGTGGCAGCCGTTGGAGGGGACCGAAAGGAGGGCCACTGATGCTGGAGCGTTCGTGGTCTATCCGTACGAAGACTCAAGGCAGCAGACCATGGCGTGCCGTTCTTTGCTCTGCCGACCTGGGTTCGCGAGATGGAATGTCCAAGTGCGTGCGACACGCACATTTGAGTATCCCACGATACCGAAGGCGCGACGGCGACGGCCCACATGCCGGTCGAATCCGGTGGATTGGGTATGGGTAGTATTGAACAGGGCATGCCGCGTGCCTGGGTACAGGGTACGTACGACTACGCCGCACTTCACAATATCCCGTATATACCTATGCTGTAAGCCAGGTCGTGAGTGTACAGTATACTGCGAAGTGAAAGTGGTCCAGATGGAGACTAACCAGGGGCAGTCAATATGGGAACAATGCCGATGTGCGTAGGGGTGGTGGACGGGATGATGGGAAAGTGGCCGGTTGATTGATTAGCATTGGATGGCACCCAGGGCTCAGGGGGGGATGTAACGGCCGTTGTGACAGCGGATACGCAGTGGGTGACGATGGATTTTGAATCCCGCGCGTCGACTGCTCAGTACTTCGTGATGAAAGATTCGTTGATGATGATGATGATAATGATGATGATGATGACAATGAGTGCCGGGTGTGTGCGGGTGCTCCGTAGACGGCAAAATGAACGACTTGTGCTCGTGCTTGAGCTTAAGCTTGAGCCAAGGCTGTTGGTCAAGCGTGATGGTCTCACGACAGGCCTTTTCGGACGCTAGTTTTTCGTGTGAAGAGTATTCTTGGCCGTGTTGTAATTTGTGTGTGTGTATGTGTGTGTGTGTTCGAATGGTGACATTGGCGCCTGGCTTGGTGTGCAGTCTGATCCCGTAAGTCGACTTCTGGTGATGGCGGCGTGGTGCAGTGTAATAGTAATAGTGTAATAAAGATACACCACAACCGTTTGGAAGCTTGGCAGGTTGGGGTCCTGGTCGAGTTGGGCCGCTAGTGCGAACTCCAGATTGTGAGATCGCAGGTTTGGTTTCTTTTTCCGTGGGGTCTTCTTCATCATCAACCGGGCTCCCAGTGGCTAGATTTAGACCCCTGAGGCTGGGTCCAGAACGATAGAAGCAGTGTACATAGTACACCAGAACCGACCAGAATGGCAAAAGGACGTCGTGACATGGGGCGTGGTGAATGGATCACCAGGGGTCAAAATCATCGAGTTGGAATGGGATGGGTAGAAGTAGCATTATGGGATCCTGATCTGCGGTGAGGGACTAAGACCGAGACCAAGACCAAGAACAATAGCAAGAACGAAACCAAAAAAAAAAAAAGAACCCAAGGGAGTGAGCGGAGCGTACTATGTATCCGTATCTGTAGTACCTACCTACTGTAGTACTCGTAGACGATGCAGCACGAATACCTTATGGAGTACTCTGCCCTGTATTTTTCTTTATTTCTTTTTTATGCCGCCATTTTGGATGGATCCGGTGTGGATGACACGGATCCTTGCCGCCTTTGGTTTCGCTAGCTTGAGGCTGTGAATCTTTGATGGACGGTCAGTGGGTTTCGAGGTGGAGTTGCATCACCTTTCCCCCCTCTCCTCGCTAGGATTTCGATCATGGAGCGATTGATAGGCAAGCAGGATGATCGGTTGGGTACCGACACATGAAGTGATGAGAATGAGCAAGGGCGGTGCCATGACCATGGCGGGAAAAGAGGGAAAAAAAAGGGTATGTTGCGTTGCCTTGACTGAAGCCAAGTCTGATTGGAGTTGAAGATAGATGACTTTGGAGGCGCTGATCAAGAGCCAACTTCTGCATCTGGGATCCAAATGCGGATCTGTCAAGACCGCACTGCCGTCCATGCTATGCAGTTACAACCAAGGTCGGTCGGTATCTGCACTTTGTTAGCGTGTTAGTTGTGGTGGCTGAACCTCGACCGTTAAGTTAAGCCCGTTGATTATTATTAGTAGGAGTGTGTTCTCTGTCTGTCTCCAACTCTTGGCGACGCAGTGGGGCCGGACATGCAAATATCTTGTCCGCCCGGGCAGATGACAATTCTGCGCGATAATACGGAGCCCGTACTAGTAGTTAGTGTACTACATACATCGATTACTTGTTAGTGTCCTCGTTTCGTCAACGGAGACGGGCACTTTTGTCGGGCATCTAATTACATGCACCCCGCCAACTACCACGCGGCAATTTCTGTGCAACAGCCTCCCCAGCAAGGGCTATGCTTAGGCTGATGCTCTTTCTCTTCTTCTGTCTTGCGAAAAGTCCCCCGTCAAGTGCCTAAGGTACCGTAAAGTGAGGCTTCAATAGCAAATCCTAAATGGTGCCTTGTTACTTGGGTCAGATGAGAGCTGCGCCGGGATCGACATTGAGGCTGTCAACTTGCATGCACTTCGTTGGAAGCCGCAATGGCCGGCAACGGCGGGTTCGGGCCCGGGGGAGTGGTTGAGTTCTGATTCTCGACCAGGGCATCAACGACAGCCGGGACACCGCAATGCCTACCTTAGACGACTAGGCTAGGGCGGGGGCTGGCCGCTCTCGAGTTCAACTTCAACGACAGGCCAAGACCGGCCAGAGTCCAGAACATGCCTGTGAGCCGTGAGCCGTGTTGATGTGTTGGTATCGCATCCCTTTATTGTTCACTAATCTTCTCTGCCTCGACCAGACCCAACCCACTTACTTGCTCCATACCACACGCACCGCAACGACACAGCACGGGCAAAGGTAGTTGGACGCAGCTGGCCAGCCGGAAGACCTGCGCTAGGATCCAAGCCAACCTGATCTTCGCCTGCAGCTCTGAGCTTGGCCATCCAGCGGTGGATCAAAGTGTATGTAGAAAACTTGCCGGGGAGCGATGGCGGGGAGATAGATAGGTACGAATAGGGGAGCACCAAAGTCAATTCAGCTGGCGTACGGATAGGTTACGGATATGGACGCTTATGACGCTGACCGACGACGAAGACGACGACGCGATGCGGTGTGGCGCTCTCACCAATACGTCGTAGTCGCATTAGTAGTATGAGGACGGATGATCGTACCACTTCCATGTCTGTAGCGGCTCCAAATGCCCCAAGGAGAAGGCGGGCAACAAGTAAGCCGCCAGAGGGTGAGTGGCTTGGTTTCTTGGCATGGTAAACTTGCTCTTCTTCTTCTTCTTCTTCTTCTTCTTCACCATGACCTCCCGTCCCGTCTAGTCATTCAAATCACGACGTCTTGTCACGGCGTCGCACTTGGCTTGGCTTGGCTTGGCTTCACCGCGCCGCGCCGCCCCGTACAGAACTCATCTTGTCGGCACTCGCGGCATCGGCATCATCTTTAGGAGGGCGCCAAGAATCTTCTCGTCCGGAGCGAGTGACAAGATTGGAGATGGAGAGTATGTAATGCGCCTCCGCGGGGGCCAAGCCTCCAAGGGAAGGAGGCACGGGGGCTTGGCGGTCATTCGGCGCCGGCGGGTGTACCGGCAGCGGCCATCCGGCAGACCGGCGGGCAGACAATGCAGTCCGTCCGGGAATGTGGAGGGGCTGAGGCGGACGGCAACAAACAGCAAGGGCTTGGAGGGGCTTGAAGGGGCTTGAAGGGGATACATAGGTACGGATACTACACAACTGCACACTCAGATGAGCGGCGGGGGTCTGACAGCTTGTTGCTCCTTTCCGGGGGGGGGGGGGGGGCCACAGCCAAAGCAAATATTAA